CTTACAGCAGGCCCAGCTCCGCATGAAGCTCACCTATGACAAGCACCATCGGGAATTATGGTTCGAACCAAGACAATTTGTTTGGCTAAAACTCCAGCCCTACTGGCAACGTTCCTTGCACCACAAGGCTGCCCCGAAACTGGCCCCTAAGTTCTATGGCCCCTTCAAGGTTCTGCGGCAGATTGGCAGTGTGGCATACCAGCTGGAATTACCGGAGAACAGCCGGATTCATTATGTTTTCCACGTCTCCTTGCTGAAACCATTTACGGGTGTTCCTCTGGACCAAGTCCCCTCCCTACCACCCTTGAAAGAAGGCAAACTTGTTCCCCAGCCTAGGGCTCTCATCCGCTCTCGTATCAATCGAGGTATTCTTGAAGTTTTGGTGGACTGGGACAGCTTACCATCGACCGAAGCCACCTGGATTCCCTTAGCAGAGTTCCAAGCCACGTATCCAGAGTTCGAGCTTGAGGACAAGCTCTTAATCCAGGAGGGGAGTAATGTTATGGACGCATTCCTCGGGAAGAAGTATCATCGCCGCCAACAGCAGCAGGGACCTGACCGCCGCCAGCAACAGCAGTGATTCAATGCTCTCATCCTACCCAGTTCGGCAACAACAGTCTTATCCAGATTAGATTAGACTATCTTACTTGTTCTTATCTTATCTTATTAGTTGATTAGATGACCTTATCTTACCAGATTAGGATTAATAGAGACTTATCTTATCCTATCAGCCTTACCTTATCAAGATAGAGCAGGAGGTCTCCCTATTCAGCAAGGAGTCTCCCTAGGATTAGGACTCTTGTAATCTCCTATTTAAGGAGACACCATTATTGAATGAAGATATTGAATATTCAGTCAAGAAGTGAGTTAAGAGAGTTGGTGATCTCTTGAACAAATCACCAAGGCGCCAAGATAGGTTCATCAAGTGCAGGAAGGAACAAGGGAAAACAAGAGGTTTTCCCCGTGGACCAACCCGTGACGAGATCCTATTCGCGGGCCCTCAACAACCCCATCCTCAGATAGTGATTTTTTACCACTTTCTCAAGACTCTAATATTCTAACAGTATGACCTGGGGAGTCTCCCTTCGACACTCCCAATCCCATACACCATCATGCTTGAACCTTTGAATAGTTGCTGACCTACCTCCATCAGCAAAAGGTTCTATAATTGAGTCTGCAATCTCTCTCCCTTTGTCCTCCCTATAATTTTATGCACTAGCATGAGCTGGCACTTGTAAGGACTCCCTCTGAACTTTCTAGAGACCACAGTGATGATTGGAGAGCCCTTTTTAATCACAATTAACCCTGAGCTGGACCACTTCTAGGTAGTCAATTTATTAGGTGGACCAATGAATCATGGTTTGGATGTGCTTCATTGTGGGTGCCCTTCTTTGCATGGCAGATCTGTTTTGAATATTGAACTCCCTTCCTGATCTATGATTTTTTACATCTTCCATCATCTAAATATATCCTGGGGGAATTCCTTCCTTTCCGATTCCAACCATTTGATTTTGGGTAGCCTTTTTATTTTCAATCTCTTGTGAGCATCCCTTTATCAGCAACTTTAGCTAGGTTTTAGACAGTTGCCATGTATCCATAGGATTTCTTTTGAAATTTAAACTTACCCTGCCCATTGTACAAGAATAAAGACAGATGTCTATGATTTAGAACTAGGTCATCTTTCATACAGTCCACCAAAACCATGGGCTTACTTTCTGCCATGTGATTAGGCCTATCCCTTCATCCTCCTGAGTCACACTATTAACCCTTGCTAGATTCTCCACCGTCTCTGGTAAAGGGTATAAATGCATAAATTATTGAGCTTGACTAGACCCACCCAAGTTACCAGATTTGCTAGCACATCAAGAGAACTTTTCAAATAGCTTTAAACACCTGCTCCCATGATTTTTTTTTTTTGACCTTCAAGAACTTTCTATCAGAGAATGATGTGTTGTTGGATAAAACTTGACTTCGTGTTGAAGGTATACATATCACCCCATCCACACAATACTAACCATAACCAGAACCACCCCTCTCCAATTCACCTTCATGAACACACAAGTGAGAAGCTCCTGTTTGTGGTCTTCTGTGGTATTATAGCCCCACAATAACCCCCAATTTCCAGATAACCTTGGGGCACCATAACATTAATGCTAAGCCATAAACACATAACGGCATAACCACAGGACCTGGTCATGTACTTGTTTTTGTAGTTTGTACTAAGATTCTACAAAAAAAGAAAAAAGAAAAAGAAAAGAAAACTGGGGAAAATATCTCTTAAGAAACATTTCGGACTATGTGCTTGTTGCCTTCCAAAAAAGTCAGCTGGACAGTTTTGCTCATTGGTTCAAACCAGGAGGCTTAAACGTTAATAGAAATTTTTTTGAGACCAATATAGAGGATTAGGCCTGAATAAAAAGACCAAAATTATGAGCTGGTAGGCCAACTTTCATTGCCCAGGATAAATTATCTATTGCACTTATTTTATCAATCTAAATTATCTATGGAATTGATGACTTTAAGTTGATTTTTCCAGGTTAACTTAGACTAGCACACTTTTTTATTTGATGCTCAGTTGATTCCAATAACCGTGCATCATAAACCAACTCAAGTTTTCAATCCTGAATGCTGAGCATGAATTTTACTCAAATGAAAGAAATAAATATCTCACTGATGATTTAGATTAGTTAATATTAACAAGGTGACCAATCTAAAACTTAGAAGTACAATAAATCCAGCTCATTATCATATAAGAAACTATGATATTCAACAATATGACAGCTAGACCATAACTCATAGAGAGAATAAATAAGCAATTATTTACAGCTTCTTGTTATTTTTGTATCTTTTCCTGATCATTTGCTTTTGACCAGATCTCTCTACCCAAATCAAGTATGTGCCATGTTTCTAAGGCACGCGAAATCTAGCAGACCAGCTGAGATGCTAAAAGAATGACTTTCATCCCCCCCCCGACAGCAGACACAAAAATGGTTGCACTAATGTATTCACTGATGTTGTGTTTATTAAGAAAATAAGTGGATATCAGAAACCTCAAGAACTTTATAAGAATAAAGATACCATAAGCAATTATTTACAGCTTCTTATCAATTTTTTATCTTTTCCTGATCATTTGCTTTTGACCAGATCTCTCTACCCAAATCAACTATGTGCCATGTTTCTAAGGCACACAAAATCTAACAGACCAACCGAGATGCTAAAAGAATGAGTTTCATCCCCCCACCCCCACAGTAGACACAAAAAAGAAATGGTTGCACTAATGTATTCATTGATGTTGGGTTTATTAAGAAAATAAGTGGATATCAGAAACCTCAAGAACTTTATAAGAATAAAGATACCATAAACTAAAAGATCATGCGAAGGAAAACAAAATTGCACAACAGCACAACTACCATATGAAGGTACATGTGGTTCACCAATTAATATAGGCTATATCTATAGAATATAATCAGGAAAAAAATAAACTGCTGACAGAGAATGCAAGATACATGGCAATTAATCTCACCCACCAAAATCCCAATAATAATGGTCCAAAGTTTCCTTTCATATGATATGACAAATAATTCACCTCCTAAAATTGTGACTAGAATCCATCAAATGTCTCTTTCAAAAAACTGCTGAAATCCTGAAATCATAATAAAGACTACAGAACAACCTTGCTAGTTCTCTTCTTTACCTTTCTTCTTCTTTTGTCTCTTTAGTAAGACTGAATTTGCATTGACGAAAATGAGGCCCAAATGTGGCTTTAGAAAAGCAACAATTGGTAACCAATTACTAGCTCTAACTTGTCTGGACCTGTTCACGGGCCGTGCTTCGGGCCTGACTTACACTATGTCGGGCTCGGGCTTTGGGCCGGGCCCCATTAAAATTTTGGCAAGAGCCAAGCCCAAACACGGCCCATGAACAGGTTTACTTGTGTCTATTTAAAGTTTTAAACCCATCTTAGCCAAAGAATCAAATGGATTATATAAAAGGGTATGGAGTGCCAATAATGCATCTAAATGTCCCTTAATGAACAAGCTAAATTCCATAAGCCCCACACTAACACATTCAAAGTGCACCTAATGCATTCAGTCAATCACTTTCTCCTGAGAAACTCTCACATTTCTTTATTTTGACGAGCAAGTAAAGGATGGTTTATTACTATAAGGGGGAAAGACATCCTGTCCGGAATTTTGGGTAGCCAGACACAAAGAAAATAGTAAAAGTGCTGACCTAATTAGTTACTAAGATGCTGCCGCGGTACCGCCATGTCTCCCTTACAACTCGTGGATCAGTGTACAGCACAACAGTCTCATCTGAGTCATAGACCAACATGGCCCATTAGGAATGCCATGTCATGGAGACAGAACATGCCATCAACCCAGCAACCCCACCAGCAAACGAAATTAAACCAACTCCATCAAAGAACCAATAGGTTAGGAGTTTGAGATTCCACATATTGAAGAAAAAATCAAAACAAAGGAACCTAAGGAAATAATTGCTAGCAAGATAAACAATTTGTTGGAGTATCACAAAAGACCTGGATCTCTTTCCTACCTACTCAATAGTCAATGCTCATCATGGTCCCTTGGCCCCTTCAAATGCCTAGGGTTTCTTAAGCCTGGTTTATTAGAGAGTTTTTTTGCAAAGATTTCTTAGAGAAATTGAAGACCTTACAACATTAAGAAAGAAATGGGAATGGCTCTATTTGTTATGTACTCCAATACATCACTTAGATGACAAAAGAGAAACAAAGGACTCAACCATTCAATAACTCCATTAAATACAATGAGATCTCAGTATCATAGGGGATTTTCAATTAGGTGGGAACAGAGAAAGCCAACTATGCAAATTTTCCTGAAATGTCAATGCTTGTCAAGAATACAAGATATTGAGCAAGTAGACATGGTCAAGTGTAGATAACTAGGAAATCTATATATTTGGACCTCTACACAAATTTTCCCATCAGTATTTTCTGTTTAATTAAGGAAGAAACATACCTGCAGCTTTAAGGAGCAAAACAGAGGCAGGCGGGGTCTTCAAAATAAAAGTAAAGCTTTTGTCCTGTAAGTGAAGAAAAGAATATCCCATGAATGAAACTGAATGAAACATTGGCACAATATAGAATTAAATTGACACCTACTGAATAGAGAGCATTTTATCCAACCATATTACACCAAAGAAATTTCTTTTTAAACACAAAATAAAAGTCTAGCTTTTTTTGTCTAAACTTAGCAGACTATAAAAAGGGTGGTAGGACAAATTAAAGCACCTCGACGGGAAAACTTTAGAAGAACTTGTTTACCATAAAGCCATAACTTAGTAACTTACGTCATAGACTGTAATTTCTACTGGAATCACATAACCCGCTTTGTCGGCAGTTCTTGCATTGTAATCCTTGCAGAAAGCCATGATATTGACACCCTTAGAACCAAGAGCCGGACCGACAGGTGGTGCGGGAGTGGCCTTCCCTGCCTCTAGAGCAAGCTTAATCACTCCAGTTACTGTCATTAGAACAAAGGCAACCAATTAAGTGCAAACCATATGAAGAAATTGAATAATAGATAATAGACAAAGATGACGGTTCCAATTAATAATGCAAAACACCAAGCAATTCAAAAGACTATGAAGAAAGAAAGATTTCGACGGCTTAGGAACCGGTCCCAAGTGACAGCGCTAATGACCTTCCTAGAACCACACTTTCAAAAACCAAAAAGTTAACTAAGGTATGGAGCACGCTCAACCACTCGAACAATTGAGGAAGAGAAAGGCTCCTTAAGAAGAGATCAGGAGAACATAAGTCGACCTACTTCTAGAAATGAAATAGGCATACCTTTCTTGGGTTTTCCTCCAGGTTTGGGAGGCGCCATTGATTTCACGGTAAGAGACCTTGAAGTTGAAAGAACGGATTTTCTGTTCAGAAATTGCAGAGAAAAACGGGTGTTTGAACTCAAGCTGACCGATGAAGGAAAGAGAGAGGTGGAGAGCCTTCCATTGTTTAAGGAAGGAGAGGAAGGATGTGAGAGATGGATACGATAGGCGGACAGGGACGCCATGAGAGAGGAGGAACTGAAGAGATAAAGCTCTGGATTACTCTTCCCTCCTTGGTTCTTCGTTTCGCTCGTTAAATGTTGTTCTCCTTGTGTGACGACTGACGAGGACATCTAAGGTGCTCGATAGGATAGACACTACTGGCGATCTATCGTCATCTTATTCCCATCTTAGCGTTAGCATAGACAGAATGATGAGATCATCAGAAGATCAGATGCTTTGGTCGTAGAATGACCGTTTGATGGGTGTTCATATTGTCTACAGTTCTATTCATAATACTGATGAGCCATCAGTCATGATAAAGTGCTAAACTAATCCGTATACGAGTCCCACGTACCGTAATCGGTTCACTAGGACAGAGTGGTTTTATTGATACGGGCCGGTTTAGGGTAAGGTTTGATGAATGATGATATGATATTTTGGCTCGGTGGCCAGCGCGAAGAAGAGTTGAAAAGGGATCGGATCGAATTAAATTCGATTTACCTAGATCCAAATTTGATTCGTTAATAACTTAATATCCTCTTCAATCGTATCTTATCCATTGGATTTTATATGAATTAAATAAGTACGTATTTAAATAAGTGGTGGGATTACATAATAAATAGAAAATAAGCATTTATTTTTATTTGGCAAAAGAAGCGATGAAACAATTACTTAAAAAATAAATAACATTTGAGTTGCTTATTTTAAGTGCTTATTTGTATTTTCTGGGATGAGTTTGCCCAAAAAATTGAAATTCTTAAATTGCCCCTACAAATGGAGAAAACCCTATAATCTTCTCATTTGCACAGGGTGTTCTTGTAGCAGGGTTGATATAGAGAGGGCGGCGGACAACCAGAGAAACGGCCAATAACTTTAAGGCCTCGTTCATTTTTTGATAAGTTATTTATCCGGGTAAATGCAGTTACCTGGGAAACATTTACTTGGGTAAGTGTATTTACCCATGTTCTTTTATTTCTCACGTAAATAAGGTAATAACCATTTTAGTATAAAAATCCATTATTAAAATGGGCATTTTTGTCCCATTCAAGTGTTAACGACTTTCTTCCTATGTGGAAAAGTTATTTACCCACTTGGGCATGTGATACCCAGGAAAATAAATTTCCCTAATCCCCACATTAATCTGAAAAATGAGCATGGGATTCTTAGTCAATGAGAACCAAAATTCCATTGACCAACTTTCCCCCTTCTCAAAATCCAAAAAAAGAATGCCCCCCAAGTATGTTGGTCGTTTTTCTTTTCTTTTCTTTTTTTCTTTTGTTTCTCTTCCACTTACAATCTAATTTGGACTATTTTGTGAGATTTTCATGCCTGCAACTAGATCTAGATGTTTTTTTTTCGCATATCTAGTTTTTGAACGAAAAAAGTGCTTAGATTCTCACCAGCAACGACAAGTATGACAATCCTATTCAACTTACTTCAATCGTTTACTGTTGTTATAATTTTTTGCATATTCTAGTGAAAATCCGTAATCCGAAGTTTTTTTTTGCTTTTTAAAAGTATCATTTGAATAATAGTGCATTATTGATGCTGCTTGTTTGGATGTTCTTGGGCACACTTGTGTTATATGTGGACCCATGTGTGTTTCGAAAGAGTGACGTCATAAGTTCTTTGGAAATAAACAATATAATATTCAAAAACCAATATTTATATGGATTTGTGAAGTAGGGGCTAAAAATGCCAATTCCTCAAAATTAAGTACTTGTTGGAGAAATGGCTTGCTAAACATCCTCACTCCAATGAGTACTTAAAATTAAGTATAAGTGGTTTGGGAAAAGAGTCTCAAAACAACAATAAGTACTTATTCAGATAAGTACTTATGAAATAGGTGCTTGTTTTTCAAACCACTTATTTACCAAACATAGATAAAAATGGATTGCTATCAAATATTAAATAGAATTAATAGATTAAATTAAAAATTATCAAAACATTAAATATTATTAAATTTAATGTGACTAAAATCAATGATTTTAAAAACCAATCTAGAAATGGAATTGCTTTGACCACCGGTTCTTAGGTCAAATGGTATGACTATCTAGTCTAAATCCCAGTCAAACAATTTTTGGGTCTAAAACTAGACCGGGCCATGACCAATTCCAAGTCAAACGGTCCAACCGTTTGATCCAATCCAGTCTTCAAAACCATACTAAAAACAATTTGATGTTGTATATCATTAACAAATTGAACTGAAATAAAATTGTATGAAGATTGAATATGATCAGCATTTATGTCTTCTCACAACTATATAGGATTTGACAGCATGAATCTTGTTTCACCGTTCCATTGGGCTTAGTGTTATATCCATTGTTAGATTGTGAACCCTTCAACTTGAAATGGATGGCTACTTATCAGTCACACGTGGATGGAAACTTGAACATATAGCTCTAACTCTTATGTTGTGTTTGGTTTAAAGATAAAGGTAGGGAAAGGAACTAAGGCTGTTTGACTTGAAGGAAAAGGTAAGGAAGGGAAAGATAGGGAAACCAATATAAGGGTTGTAAAGGTGTTTCCCCACCTTTCCCTACATTTTCCTTCAAACCAAACATAGGGTAAGGAGATCGGGTTTCCATACATTTCCATTTCTTTCTCCATTGTCTTTTCTTTCAAACCAAACATAGTCTTAAGTAACATCATGATATTCTTAAAAAAACGTAAAACATCACATTCGAACCAAATTATTAATAGATCAAATATAGATATCCCTTAAACGAATCGTTTTTTTTTTTTAATTCAAATCTAGACAAAATGGATATCAAGTATATTGTAGCTTCATGCTCAACCTCCGATATCACATAAGCTTAGACTTGGGTTGTATTTGGTAGGGACTTAGGTTTGAAAGAAAATTCTAGCTAGGAATGTTGGTTGACGACCATTTTAAGACATTTTTTTATTAAGAAATTGATTCTAATTTGTAATGTGTTGTGATAAATTTATATTGAGAGAATAATTTCATATTTTAGATGGCTGAAGTTTAAGTTACAGGTGTTGAAATTTGGTCTCGTAAACATGTAAACTGAAAATTGGAAATCTCAGTAGAAATGTTGGTCAACAACCAACTTTGGGCTACCGTAAATCAGCCATTTTGTGATATTTTCATTAAGACTTGATTCTAATTTGTAATATGTTGTGAGAAATTTATGTTTGAAGAATAATTTCTTATTTTATGTGGCAGGAGTGTAAGTTACAAGTGTTGAAATTTGGTTTCCTAAACATGTAAACTGAAAACTAGAAATCTAAGAGTCTTGGAACTAACTTAGTAAATTACTTTAGATTTAAGTAGAGCAGTATGATTAATTAGAAGCATATGCATCGTGAATACAATAATATTAATAGTGAAATTAATGTTAATAATTACTCATTGGTTTATAAGCTTTTGGATACGCTATAATTGGTGCTTTGGATTAATCTTTCAATTAATTTTTTTTGTGAACTATAAATTAAATTAAAAAATATTTCTTGGTTACATATATGTTTATCTTTTTATGTTTATTTGAATTAGGATTTAAGCATGTAAAAACTTATGATATTATGAATTTAGAATATGAGTGAATTTTTTATCGTTGTAGTACATTGATAGTTATTTCAAAAATTTACGTTTTGTTCTTTCTTAAAATAATATACATTTTTTTGAACTTGTTATTCTTTTATTTAAGGGAAAATTCCCAATAGGTACCCTGTACTTTAGGTTGAGTGCCAATTTAGTACATGAACTTTAAAATGCAACAATTTAGTACCTGAACTTTCATTTCGCAATGATTTAATACACGGCATTAATCAGCCGTTAATTGACATGCAAAAAGACAAAAATACCCTTCAAGTGTCATCTAATTTTCTTTATCAATCATCCGGTAAAACCAGACCGACAATGCTACCCATTCATTGTCTCGCCTCTCCTCACTCTTTCCTCCTCTCTGCCCCTCTAATTTGCTAGTCTAAGAATACTGCCATGGATTCTTTGATTGGGTTGCACCATGAGGATGATAAGGACGTCCTAATTGTTGTTGCACAGGGTGTGGTTCCAATTCTTGTTCAGTTATTGGATTCGAGATCCCTGGGAATAAAGGAGAAATCAGTTGTGATGATTTTGAGGATTTCGGTGCAAAAGAACACTTGCAGTTCTGAAAGCTTTCGAGTTTGGGATTCATGGGTTCCAGAGTTACAGCATGATTCTTCATTTTCATAATCTTTACGTTACTGCTCACCACCTCACCCTCGCCCGAGATCGCCAAAAGCCCCCCATCACCCACCGTACTGTTCTCACCCACCATCCCCACCGCAGCATGGCAAAGAGCGACGTACATTTGTTTAATTTACGTGGTGGGCGCCAAAATCCTGAAACAAGGTGAAGAATGTTACCAAGCTAATAATTACCACCATATTATAACATCATGAAAGGCTTTGTTATACTAGAGACTAATACATACCTGAAGCCTGCCTTGACACCACTGTTCCAGTCTTGCTTGTATCTCATCAACCTTCCATGGAGGTCATTCTTGATTCCACGAAAAGGGACGAAGGTCTCTTCCATCTTGTTTGTTTGGCAACTCAGTCAACTGGGTACTCTTTCTTCAATGGCTCAAGAGAAGGAAGGGTGAAATTTGAGCATTGCAGAAGGTGAGAAAGTGCAATGCTAACAAACACTAAACAGAGAAGAGCAGATTTGTATTTAGGGAATACGAGCAATCATCAAGCCAACAACAGAATTACATAATCCAATCCCACCGAAAGACTCTAGCTTATTCTCAACCAGACAAACCAAGCCCGAAGACCCACAAACAGAAGATAAATAATTTAAAAATGCAAGAACACCGAATGATTACACACAAACAAGTTAATCGTTTTGCTTGCATTGAAGTTGTTCTTCAAGACAATGTGAGCACAGGGGAGGTCTAAGAGGAAAGCTCCATATATATAACCTCGAAAAGGGTTGAAAATGGAATTCGATGCAGAGAATGCAATGTGGGTCAGAAGGGAATAAAAGGAATCAAGGAAGTTCGGTGGTAGTGCCCAACAGAAACCACAAATTTAGAAATTAGAAATATAGATTGAGCCCACAAGCTAAAAGGTAAGAAAAAGAAAAT